CTATATCAATTTCTTATCAAACACAACAAAGTTAATAATCCAACAAAATTCTAACAAAACTTCATTACAAAACTTAACAACGTTCTGTGGAGTACTTACTAACTTTCCATACAGTACTTTCCTAACCACTTTCCTATTAAAAATTTTCATGGCAAAGTGATGCTCTAACCCAACAGGGCTAATTCAAGTTGAATACTTTAACTGACAGTGTAATGACCATCCACATGATTGAAAGTCACTCTACCTGGAAGGACATTTGAAGGCAATTCACTTGGGGCTGGTACATGAGGTATTTCTATATTTGTAACATTATTATCATGGAAAACCAAAGGTGGTGGTGCAGAATCACCAGGGAAGTGCAGTCTCTTCCATAGTTCTGAACAATTAGTTTTCCAAAAGCCAATCTTGTCATCCTCCCGATCATAAGTTACTAAAGTGTTGCGAACAACAATTCCTGCCAAACAAATAAAAGATGAAAGAGATCATTAAAACATTTGAGCAAAAGGAAAAGGGATATCGAGGTTTGTGTATGGCCAAGATGTGTATGTACCTCCTAAAAGGGTAGTTGGATCAGCATTTTGGAAAATTCCCAGGCAATATGCACCACTAACCTTTGTGTGCTGTACAGCATGCCATGAAGATGCACAGAGAAAATGTTGCAGAGAGTAAGTAAAAAATATTCCAGAGTAAGAAAAAAAAATAGCAATGGAAAGTGAAAGTAGATGCTGCAAGAAAATCCTATAACTACTTTAAATTAGCTTTGCCAACAGCTCGATTTGTATCTTTATAAGAAGAAGTTCAAGGAAGATAAATTACTTGGAACAAGTAGTTCTCTGGAGACAGTAACAGTTTTTGCCCATTGCTAAATACCATATCAACATCTGGGAAAATGTTTGACAGCCGAGAAACATCCCTACATCACATATAAAGAGAAACCAAAGTTGCAGTGCCAAGGCATACATTCAGAGATATTTATAAACTTAAGCTGCATTTTACAATTATTGACAAACCTTCCAGCACCAGAAAAACAGATATCCTCATAACTTGGATCAGGGCCATGAATCCTTTTGAGAGAGTGAACTTCCCTTATGATCTGCATTAATATACAGAATAGTTCAAAACACTAATTTAAGTTACATAGATTCTGCAGGTTTAAGCAAATGAAAATAGATGGCAAATCTCCAAATGCTTTGGAAGTAAGAAAGTAAATTTCCCATTTATTTGTAGAACTAGTATCAATAATTTAGTAATCTAGATGCGTGAAAGATAGGCAAGTTTCTCACTATGTAGTTCTCTAGATCTATATAAGCAAGTTTGTTACTAGTTGCTCTACATTTGTATGCAATTTTCAAATCTGTAAATTTCTGACACTTCTTTTTTTAATAAACTCTACTGCCATTAGTAACCAAAAGAGTTGTCATTACTCTGTTAAGGCTCATCTATAAGTGGCAAAGTGCATCCATTTAACCAACAGAAGTCAATTGCAATCACTTGTTCCTTGTGTGCAATAAAAAGGTAAAGCATCAAAGGGAGAATTAAGAACAATTCAATGATCACACAAAAATAAGAAGTTAACGTTAAAGAGTGACTAAACTAGAAAAGCATGAAGCTCAAGGCTACAAAATCTTACAGCATCCTTAAATGCAACAAAAGCATCTTTTGGAAGGTAAGCATATGTGGTCCCACTGTCCAAGACTGTTCCATGCCTTCCATTGAATATCGCTGAGTTTAACTTCAGTGGCTTTCCAGCAACATGAATTTCCTTCAGGTCGATGTTGTAATATGGGCTGTTATCATTGAGAAACTACAGTGAATGGGTGAGAAGCACCAGATGCATTCTTTAAACTGCAGTGAAAGGAGTGTACCTGCGGTAAGGGTCTGAATGTGAGAACACCATATCTGGGGGAGGAGAAATTCTACCAAGAACCATGGCTCCCCCACCAACATGCATCCCCCCATAACATAAAGAAAATGTATCATTAATAACACCTTTTTCAACCAGTTGATCTACAATACTAAGCCGCCCACGACCCAAACCCATTATGCCATCAGCACGCTGGCTGTAAAGATCACCAGTTTCCATATTTTCACAACCAAAAACAGCACGCTTGGGTGCAAGCTCACTTTCATTGCCAAATGAGACAATATCCTCTCCGAGCACCCCACTGCTGGAGCTCATCTCAGCATACCTTCTGTCATAGGTACATTGTTTTTGCTCAGCATCGCAGTTACAGCTGGGATTGCATTTTACAGGGTCATAAGTGCTGGATAAATCTGGTTGGAACCTTGGATCCTGAATTCAATCAATCATTATCACTCAAACAAGCTCTAATAAAGAAATGAAATCTATTCAAAATCTTTCTTAGAAGGATAATACTCCTCCCAGGTTCAGTCGCAATAAATCTAAGAAATCAAGAAAGCAGAATGAGTAAAGCAGTTCCCTCTTAAGTATATCGTTTCTCAGCTCCAATTGATAGAAAACTATCATCTAAAAGTTGCATTTTTTTCCCCCTGATCCTCTCTCAGCACAAAACTCAGGTTCAGATAAAATATAAAAAAATTAATTAGACACTAATTCCACAATTTCCACTTAACAAAACTCATCAAAAATTTCATACTCATGTGGTAAGCATAAGGGGGAAAACAACAATCCTAACCATATGTTGATTGTCAAATCAAATTAAATGTCTTATCAATCATAAACTAAACTAGAAACTGTGCCAGACAAACTTTATAACATGGAAAGGGAATCCAACCTGATGCTTGCCGCACTGCTCACAGGTAGAGCAAGGCACGTAAGTGACGGTGCTTCCCGTGTCCACGATAAGAGCGAATTCCTGCGGCGGTGTCCCAATCCACAGACGAGTGGTGTAGTAACTGCGATACAAAACCAACCTTTAACAAAATTGCTCTGAATCCCAAACAAATTCAAATAAACACAGAAATGCAGGGAAATGAAATTTTATCGGACGAGACCCGTTGGAAAGGAGATCATCATAGAGTCTCATGCGAGCGTTAGGGGCTCGCGTGAGCTTGGATTGTTGGAGGTGGCGGCGGCGACTGTCCACGTGTCGGTCGATGGAATAATTGCGCGACGACATATGCAGAGGTATAACCATCGGCCTCCGGAGAGGATCTGCGACGGCGGAAAAGAAAGTGCTGGAGCAGAGATCGATCCAGATTATGGAAGAGAGAATGATAAACGACGGGGCGAGACGGTGCCAGGTCGTAGCCATGGTGCTTCTCTCAGGATACGGCGAAGGTCAACGCGAGAGACTATTGTTGAGGTTGGAAGCCGAAGCACCCTGTATTCTTCTTCCCCTCTTTAAACGACGGGACAGTGAAAAAACCTGCTCAAGGATTAGCCAATCAGAGACTGCCACGTCGTGATTCTAGGACCATTACGTCCGTTTAAGGAAGGACCGTCAACCGTTTTATCCTGACTGGTAATAAATTCAGTTCGGGTTAAAACGAGGTTGATGAAGAAGAAAAAGACATGTAATAATTCAGTTTGGGTTAAAACGAGGTTGATGAAGAAAAAGACATGACATTAAGCAGAAGAAACGTGCCTAAGAGGCCACCTCAATGGAAGTTCACCTTTTCTTCATTGCCAACCACGGAAAAAAAATGTTATATGATTGATACTACCTTATTGTTTTATTTAAAAAATTATAAATTTTTAATACTCGGACTTGATATCTTTTTATTTGAATTTAAATATCTTATTTTAATAACTTAAAGATGTTTAAGTGATTCATACATTTTATAGTAAAAACAATTTTTGAAATAAATAAGATTTGAGGAAAAAAAAATTGGAAAGATTATATCACGAGTTTCCAGGAAGAAAATTGCAGAGGAAAACAGTAAATAATTTCTAGTCATTTAAATGGTAGATGTACAGTGTAACAAACAAAAGTGGGAAGATTTTGAATACAGATCTAGAACAACATCTTGTATCCCCTTTCAGATCCTCCAAAAGAGAGGATTATACATCAAATTCATGTTAGTTTGCATTCAGCTACGGGGTATATATCTACTGTAATGTCGAAATTCTCTAGAGCCAAGATCGACTGCATGGATGCTACAAGCACGAACAATCATCCTACAAACTGATTAATGATGCCTGCTATAAAATCAGTCCACCATACACCTAATGTACCTTTGTAATGAGATTTTAGATTCTGAAATTGAACGAAAGAAAATGAACGCTGACACCTACTGTTGTAAAAAATCTTCGTGAGGATACCTCCTGACATTTTTACAATGCATGTCTGGGTGTAGAAACTTTTTCTTCTCGAACCAGGCGAGTACCTTTTTCCCATAGATGTTGCTGCGCATCATGGGAGAGTTTTTCCAGACAAGGTTTAACAAAGCCACATGGACGTCACCCTGTTTTTGCAAGGACAAAGATACATGTTAATGTTATAACCAGGTAAATTTAAACTTCAATTTTCAGCACAAGTTGAAATTAACATGTAAAAGGATTTGGATGTGGACAAATCTGAGATACATATCCTAACTTTACCAAATTCAATTGTAAGTTGGAATATTTGAAAGCAAAATTAAATATTTAACAGATTGACAATGCTACATAAACCCAAGTTTATCTCATCAAAAGAAATGGCGGTTATAGAAGTATGACTCTGAAAATTATCTTACCTTAGACACTTTCAAAGCTGATTGGATGACATAGTTTCCAAAAGGATCCAAGAGAAGCATAGAAGCAGTTTGATTGTTAAGTAACTCCATGATGATTTGTGCAGCATTCTGTTCTCCAGATTCCATCAAGCACTTCTCCACAACATTGCTTCCATACTTATTGCATGAGAGAGCCATGTAACTCCCTCCAAGCTGTCTTAGAAGTTTATTTGTGATTTCTGGCACTCTCAGGTCTAGTAGATGTTGCAACACATAGTTTCTAAAGAAAAGAGAACCTAGGTATAAGCATATCCAGTGCAGATATAATGCACTGCATCATCACTACAGAAAGAAAAATAAAGCATGCGATGATTGGATACCAAGCAGAAACAGAAAAGAAAGTAAGAACACAGATAAACAGAAGAACACTAATCAGAACTTGCTTGGAGCAGGAGAGATAAGGATTTAGAGAACCACACACCCATAACAGTCTTCTGCTAGGAGGAGGGCATTTGCTATTATCTCCCCAACCAGATATTCCCTCGTCTCTCCCTTAGCATACTCAACACACTGCTGTAATACACAACATCCACTTTTATCTGTTGCAACTCCTAAACAGTTGTCTGCAATCTGATTCAGAAGATACTGACATAGAAAATCAACAGTTAGAGAATTCATTATACTAGAATTCTGATGAGAATTCCACTTATTTTTGCAGATGCAAGAGAGAGAATGCATCCTCATTGCTGAAGAAGCAAATACATATACACAGATGACAAAGCATTAGAATCAAATCATGGTTGATACCAATAAATTTTGATTACTTCTGACACAAATGTATCCTTAAAAGAAAAACTCTGAATCTTCAATACGTGCGGCATATTGACATTCTCCAGTGAAATTGTCATGGAATGGATAAAGCTTCTCTTTGACAAAATGACAAGCCAAGGTCTTGTCTTGGATTACAAGAAAAGTAATGGAATTTACAATAGTACAAGATCCCAAAGTCATCGAAAAGAAACAGTGTGAAGGTATAAAATAAAAAGAAGCCGTTCAGCTTTCATAAGCATATTGTAGTTTATTAAAGAATGTGGCAGAAAGATCTAGCCAAACTTTCAACTAACAGTAGCAGCACAGTCATCACTGTGTCTCTCTTATTGGACCGTGATGATATGGACCGGATCACAAATTTTGAGAATTGCAGCCATTTCTGAGTACTGTAACAGAATATTAAGTAATCCTTCATGGCAAAAAGAGGATGGGATGTTACCTTATTATCTTCATCTGAGAAATTCTTCAAGCAATGAAGGAGCACATGATGACCATTCATCTCCTTAGTCAAAGAAACAGCACGAGGACTTAGAGCTGACATTAGTATGGATATTTGTTGTTGGTTGGTAAGTCCATGCAACAATTTCTGTACAGCACGAGTTCTGCCAATAAGAGAGAAAAAATAATTAGCCTAAACCCTTAGAAAATTCGGATTCTAAAAGCTAACAATGTAAAACAAAGCATACCCGTGCATGTTGATGCATATGCTAACAAGTTCAAATTCATTCTTGGTGATCATCAGAAGAATCTGAGTCCTCTGTTCCTCACTGCACGTCTCAATAAGCTTTTGAACCACATGACTCGAAAAAGGGTTTACCATTAACTCACCCACCCTTTCTAACACCTCAAAAAAAATCATATCAATTGTCTCTTTTGATGATGCCTCATCAATGATCTTCTTTAAAAGGCTACATCCATACTGATCCTTTGCCAAGGCAACAATGTTACCCCTTAGATCTTCGATTGCCAAGCAATTTAGAGGTTCCTGCAACCACTGAGGACTGATTGTATTGTCAGCACTAGGGAGATTATCAAAATTAGACCTCACTATGTTTTTGTTATTAGAAAACGAACTATTAACCCCTCTTGGAACCCTCATAGAAGCACCACCCAAGAACCCTTGTCGATTCAAAGAAGGCAATACTGAAAACTCATTACGAAACTCTCTTCTCCTCGAAAACTCATTTTGAAGTGCCTTTCTCCTTGAATCAAGTAAGAACGGTTGATACGAATTAGGAGCAAAGGAATCCCGACCATCAACATTAGACCCCATGACTCCACCATCAAGAACATAATTTTGCAACCCGAAAACCCCAGAGCTCCCAAAACCAGTGTCCGTCACACCTAAACCACCCAACTCATCAAGATTGTTTCTTTGCAAAAACCCATGACTCACGGGGGTGAAGCGACCCGACCCGTCAGCAAACTCACCACCACCAAGACCCGGGTACGAAGCCCGGCGACTGCTATGGGGTGACACATTGAGGTGGGCAAAGAAGGATTCAAGGGACTGATCAAAATGGGTATCTTCAGAAGTGACTTGAAGGGATGTTTCCGACCGGGTCCGGCCTACAGACCAGCGCCGTTGATTAGAGCGGAGATGGTTTTCGGGTGAGGAATCCATCGTAGACAAAAGGACAGTGTTTGGGAGCAGAGGGATCGGTTACGGACGGCAGCGGCTACCACTCTTGAAAAGGGATGAATGAAGAGAATTAATGGGTTTTGGGGTGTAATGAGGGTTTTATGGAGAATTTAATTTGAGAAAAAATCGGGATTTAAATTGAGGAAGAAGGTAGTAGTAGAGATTTGGTGGAAGACTTGACCAAGAGTCATAGAAGGAGAATAAGACTGAGGGACGGATACGGAAAGGAGGGAGGATTTGCATGCAATTTATGGAAAGTTTTCATGCTGCTGTGAGAAAGTATCCACCGCGTTTGTTACTCTCCTAGGAAAAAGTGCAACTTTTCCCGGACTTTATTCTTTCTCTCCGGTCTGACGGTCTCACACCATCCTGAGTCCGCCCGCCTTGCAGACTCCCCTCGTTACTCTGACTGTAATTTGACCTGAATTTTAAAAAAAAAATAATTTGACCTGAATTAGATACTACAATTTAAATTATAAAAAAAGGGAGAGTATTTTTTTTTTTTATTAAAGGTGATTTTTTTAATAATTTTTATTTTATAATTTAAGATAATTTTGATTGTAAAAAGAATTAATAAAAATATAAATATATGTTTTTTTAAAGTGTAATATAATTTAAAATGTGTAAGATTATATTATTTTAATTACTAAATGAGAATAAGTCCCTTGATATTCTAGATCATTTTTTCATTCAATAGTTCTTATTTTAAAGTTTGATGTAATTTAGATTATAGAATAAAATTCTATTTTTTCAAATCATAGCAGCTTTATCCCTAAATTACATATATAATTTCTTATGAATTTCATTGTCATTATAATCTTTTACTGAACAAGTGTTATTATGGTTTCGTTGGAAAACACTTCTTTGATATTTTAATTTCTTTTATTTTTATGTTTTTTTATTATTTTAAAAAATATAAAATATGAATTAAAATAAATATTAAATACATTTTATATATTTTTAAGATATTAAAATAATAAAAAAATTAATAGCTACAGTTACATACTATTACTCTTAAATTAAGTCTATATTTGATAATAAGAGAATTAGTGATATGATTATAAAAGATGGTATTTTGGGTCAAATTGTGTGTTAAATTAATCAAAGAAAATGATACACAATATTACCGTAGAAAAGTATGTTTCAAGTTGATCTACAGGAAACAAGAGCAAGAATATACATAAAATTATTTAAATACTCTTAATAAATTTTTTTATGATAATTTATTTAAAATATTTAATCATATCAAAAATCCACTTTCTCATATCATACAAGATAATTTTTTTTATCGATTATCCGTCTATAAAGGATACGCCCACTTTCCCATATCATGTTAATATCATAAGGAATTTCTAATACAATACTTCTTTAGGCTTCTCCAAAAATTGATTTTTTTATAATATGAAAGAACACACTACCTAATCAGGTAGCCAAATCTCATTGCAACCCACTCAACCTTGTATATGGTAATAAAGAACAAACTTGTCTAATTATACCAAAAGAAGCCATTAACATTAACTTATTTTTTATTAAAATTGGAAATATAGATTATTATTTTTAGAAGTTTAATTCTCTTGTGAATTTACTGAAGATATGTTTCATGTGATTAAGGAATTTACAATGGATTACTTTCCTCAGCTTATCTCTAAAAAGTGAATTTTTTATTGTAAGGAGTATAACGCGTGTCGAATTGGGTAGCCAAATCCTGTCGTCAATTCGGCCAACGCCATGTTGCGATACATAACAAATTTATCTAATTTGACCAAAATAAACCCATCAGTAATAGACTTGAAGGTATCGGTTTTTATCTTTATTTTAAATTTAAAAATAATAATTTTTAATTAATATATTAATAAATATGTTAAATTAAATGATATATAAATTTTTTTAAAGCTCTTTTTTTGTTTAATAATTTTTATTTTATTATTCAATATAATTTATACTATAAAATAAAATTTTTTACCATATATATTTAAAAATATATATCCTTCGTATGTTGGGGTATAGGATATAATTAGAACCGACATTAGAATTTTTGGAATTAAACATTTGCCCAATTAAGCTACAAGTTCATAAAAATTCATTTACTTTTATAATATTTCTTTATAGCGCTCAAGATATATAGTTTTGATAAATTCCATTTCATTTATGCAATCCACAAATGACTAGTATGTATGTAAAATTCTATGTTATTAAGCCTTTTGGAGGATCTAGAGCAAATAGTCAAATTCATCAAAGCTGAGACAAAGTGAATGGAATCAAAGATGGTTGGCGATTAGGCCTATCTAAAATGTTAGTTTGATGTGAATGGCTGTATGATTATTGTGACTAGATATTATTAATTAGGTGCAAGGTGGGACTTGTGGGGCAAGGAATGGTTAGTGATTATATATGCTAAAATGTTAGTTTTAAAAGGAAAAAATAAAACAGCTAGTAGGGACCAATCAGCGATCTGTCCACTCTCGGTGTTAAGGCGGTTTCCAAGCCAATCCATTTTTGTTTAACACTCTAGACTGAAATTATGGCTTTCGAATTTTAATCTATTGATTTGTTAACATGAATCTGACTTAAATATAAAGTGAACAATTAAAACAATGATGCCAACGACTTAAATAATTTAATAGTTATCTCATTTCACCGACAGTAAAAAATTATGAGTTCAAATCGTATGACATGCAAGTGAAGTAAGATAAAATACAAGAGACAAATACAAATCGCATGACATGCAGGTGAAGTGAAATAAAATATAAGAGATAAATACCTTTTATTATGCAACTAAAAAAAAAACCTAAAAGAGTGATATTTTCTTTTCCCGAATAAATAATTTGCTCAAGTTATCTTGTGCTCTAATCTGGGGCAAAGCTAAGTTGAAATTTACCACCGGCAACCAAAATTTCCAAGTTTTTCCCTTCATTAATCCTTAATTAATGACCAAAGTGGTGAAAGAAGAAAAAAAAAATTTTTTTCTCAGAATGAATTCTTGAGCATGGTGCACAGCAACACTAAAGCTGAATGGTGAACCAGCCTTGTTAGCTCATTGGTTCAGCAGCCAAATTTTAAGGCTTGGTGTTCAGTAAGTCTTGTCCAAGCCCAACCAATGACATTTCCCACTTTGTAATTATCCTTCCCTCTTTCTTTTCTTTTTCTTTTTTTTTCATTTTTTTTTTCAAATATGTTATAGCTGAATAGCCACTCAAATATTGGTTCAACCGCACCAGCACGATATGGCCAAATCAAAGAAAAAACCCCAGCAGCAGATCAGGACGGAACATTCTCATCTAAATATGTAAATAAATTATTCTGGCCAAAAAAAGAGTTAGAAGACTAGCATCGATGAACAGACAAGAAACAAACACCATATGGTGTGGTTGGAATCAAAATCTAAAACCTTGGTTGTGACATTATCATGTTTCATTTGCAATGACTGACTTCGAATTCCTTAAGCTTTCGCAACCTGGGCAATTGTGCAAACTCTCGTGAATATAAATGTCACAGTCAAGGCAGAAATGCTGTTGGCACTTTGGGCAGGCAACGGAAAGGCCAGGTTTGTTTCCTGTTTCAAGACCAGTAAAATGCGTAAGGAAGGAGAATTTCATTCCACTGCAGAACATATACCTTGTTTTCTGTGCCAAAAAATATTTCCTACACAAGATCCTAGAGCATGCCAGAAGGCAAATCAAATAATTTTAATATTTTACATTGCATTTTATGGATGTCTCGTGCATCTTTGTTCCTTTTTCTGGTCTCCGAGGTGAAAGTTTTTAAGTAAAATTAGTAAATTATATTTCTTATTAGCATGTCAAATAACAATGAAGCCTCCCTATGTCTATTTAGTTCCAGAATAAAGTTTTGGTGTTATTAAAACATTCAAATTAAGAAGATTATACAAAAGAAGAGCAAAACCTTATGTACTCATGGCTACATACCTGGACTAAGAAGGCTCTGGCATCCAAAACAATTTCGCTTTGCCTTTTGATTTGGATCATTAGGACGTGATAGAGGAACCTCATCAAACGGTGGTATAGGAAAGAGATGATGATATGATCTTGCTAAATGGGGAGAAGAAACGAGCGTTAATCCACAAATGCGGCACTCAGTAGGCAGCTCACATACACGAGCCTTGCATCTTGGACATGTGTACCCAGCACCAACCTTAGCTTCTTTGTGACATGAACAAATAGATATAGAACCCTCTGCCGCTCTTTGTGGGAATCCCATCTTGATCAGATTAGCAATTGCAAATTCTGCTATGGCTGGTGGGGGTGGGGCATGCTCCAATATCAACTCTTTGAAGTGTGCCTGCCCAAGAAAATATGGTCAAAATCTTTTTACTTTTCCTTTTTTTTCCCTGCTGCTTTATATAGCCAATAATATTCATATAATTCATATAAAGCATAATGAAAGTGTGAAATCCCTTACTGCAGCCCCCTCTTTTCCCTTTACAATTGAATAAAACAGAAAAGAACAAAACAAATAACGGAAAATTGCATGTGAATGAAGTTTACTACCATGTTTTTCAATCTCCTTTCAGTTTTAATTCTGCTGATAAGACAAAATGACAATACATAGGTGCAGTGCTGTAATCAAATACCAAAAGTTGAACTCACCTCATCCAAAGCAACAGAGTACATACCACCAGTTTCCTGGCAAAGATGTTTGCATATAAACATTTCTGCAGCGAGGCCAATAACTGAACACCTTATTTTAGATTTCTTGCATTTTTGGACAGTCTCCATTATATCTCCAGGATCACAAGTACTGAGAGCAGAATATAGTATAAGAACTTCACGATGACCGTATGATGGAATTTGATTCAGATACCCATGTACAAGGTCTAATGCATTTTGTAGAGAAGAATCGCCTGAACATTCCAGTTTGCCCATCAAAGCTTTGATGTGGGCCTCAGGAGTGCCACCAAGATCTGTCAAACAGTGAGCAACACCATCTTTTATTGTCACCAGGCCAATTTGACTAAGGGGATTCTGGTCAAAAAACTCCCTAATGAAAGCTTCAACATGTTTTGCAACAACAACCATCCGGTTTGGTCGAAAATCTGTCTCTGCAGCTGCCTACATACAATTAAACAAATAAAAGTGAGTTAATATCATATGCCGAACTAAAGTTACTGAACATTCTTTTTAGTAAAATTAATTTGTGACACTAGACAAACTCCATTCTCATCAGAAGCATATAAACATCAACTTATCAAGAAATGAGAATGAGTATATTTGACAAACATTGTTTTACATGGAAAAAGTTGTACCCGGGAGAGGTCAATGACAATGTAGAGATAGCGGATGAGGCCCTTTTGAATCCTAGTAGCAGCTGCAGAGGAAGAAAGAGAACGAAGGCGCCGGCGGTACTGAGCATGGTAAATGGCCTTGTTGTCAATGGGGCGAAGGAAACCTAACTCATCCTCTTGCAGAGACTCCCAGGACCTCTCATCTGCATATGTTCTCTCCCATGCTTCAAGCCCATCCCCATCATCTTCATCATCTTCATCCTCCTCTGCTCGTCTATTCAATCTTTTATCCGCTCCATTGTTCATTTTTCCCTGCTGATCTGTAATGCCCCAAACCAGGAGCAAAATAGATGTTGTACACTTGTGAGTGGGTCCCTCAGGTGTACAAGGCTCAGAACCTGTTAATATATTATGCAAAATCCACATCTAGTTAAATGTTCACTAAAATCCATTAAAAAATGAATATCTTAAATAATCTATAAATTGGGAATAGCTAGCCAAGTCAAATTACACATAAAATTCAATATCATCTAAATCATTTAAATATCCACATCTAAAAATCTAGAACTATCAATACGACAATGAATGATCTAGCCAACTATTACGTCACTCACCTTGATCCCCAGTATCTCTAGTCTCATTACTTGAAATGGTAGATAGGAAAAACGATGTGAAACAACGCAATAAGTAAATTACGAGCAACCCTATTTTAATTTAAAAGAAAGCATGCCAGGTAAGGAGTATCAAAACAATAATTCCAATCATAAATCAGTAATGTACTTAAAATCATTTAGTGGCCTCCTCAATTAGTCATAGCCAATGTTTAACAAAACTTCTACTAGCAGGGGTCAGAAAAACCAAATACCAGTAATATAACAGGATGAACCAGTTCTACAATAATGCATGTTCACATGTGACAGAGTTTACAAGATAGTAGGCCTAAATTTTGTAACTCAACATTCTGATCCTGCTCATTATTAATAAGAAGGCAGAGCAATTAGAGAATGCTTTCCAAGATTCAAGCAGCATACTATAAGCAGTGACATTAATTTTTTTCCTCCCCAAATTAAAGACAGAAGAAACCCTACTAAAAAAATAAAAATTACAAAATTCTGATGTAGTAGCAACTATAACAGTCTCATCACACTCACTGTTACTCAGATTTTCTTTTGTGTAACAAAATCAAGGAACTTACAACAAAAATTAGAAGCTAATTAGAAGGAAAAGAGAGTACGATGCTTACCTCTCAAAATCAGTGCTCTTCTCACTTAGGTCTCGATTGGAAGAGGATCAGAATAAGAAAAATCAGAAGAAGCCTGCTCGTTGCTCTACTCTCAAATTTTTAACTAAGGGAGAATTGGAAAAGGGACAATCGTGAGGGACAATCGGAGAAGGAGAGAATCGCGGTGAAGGAAGATCAGAAGAAGAGATCGTTGTGCCAGGAAAAAGGGCGGAGGAGATAGCAGTGTTCTGCAACACTCTATTGGGGAAGAATTTAGCCCAGGCAAACGGGCGGACCGGGCTGGGTTAGGGTTGGGTTGAAACGGGTCAGGGGTTATAGGTGTCGGGTCATAACGAGTCATAAGTAATTTTACGAAAAGAAAAAAAAAGGTTGATCTTTAATCCACCTAAGACAAATCCGAGTGGCGGGTTAACCCACTGGTTGAAATAGGTAAAAAAAATAAGTTTTCGTACTGCATCGTCAAATAAAAAAAAAATATCAATTATCTATTAGTTTAGTGAAAAGAATTCGGTTTTTTTAAATAAAATTTTAACTTTAAATTTTGTAAATTGAAGATAGAAAACTATACGTTAGGAGAGTTTTCCCTTATGAGATCCGATACAATTTAATTTCATATTAATCGAAATTCAATATGATTTTCAGATACTGAAAAATTAATAAAATTTTATTTTTAAAAAAATAAACATAATTAAGTGACGTGGCTGGTTGTGTGGCTATACAAAGAATCGATTATTGAAAACTAAAATTTTGCAACCAATAGTAACGAAAACTAAAAATTTGTTCAAAGAAAATTTTAAAACTAACAACAAAAACTATAAACATGTTTAATAAATATAAAA